GCGAGGTTCTTGTTAGCCCCATAATCGCTCCCTCAATCAAGATAACACTTATGTGGTCTCTGTCTCTGTCCTTCCTCCATCTTGAACATCCCTCTAGTTCTACTCCCTGCTTTCCTTCTCCACTCTTCCTCCCCTACTGCCTGACCTTCTCCCCAACCCCCACTCTCCAAATTTTCTCAGGAGATCTTGTCTATTTCCCCTTCCCTGGGGGAATCTATGCATGTTTCACTTGGGGTTCTCCTTGTTACTTAGCTTCTCTAAGGTTGTGGACTATAGACTCCTTATCCTTTGATTTAAAGATAGTATTCACCTATGAGTGGGTTCATACCATGCTCATTTTTCTGAGTCTGGGTTACCTCACTCAGGATGGGTTTGTCTACATCCATCCATTTGCATGCAAATTTCATGAAGCCATGGATTTTTACCACTGAGTAGTATTCCACTGTGTAAATGTACCATGTTTTCTTTATCCATTCCTCAGTTGAGGGGCATCTAGGTTGTTTCCAGGTTCCAACTATTATGAATAGCTTCTAGTAGAACAAATGTCCTTGTAGTATGATTGAGCCTCCTTTGTGTATATGCCCAAAAGTGGTATCACTGGGTCTTGTGGTAGGTTGATCCCCCAATTTTCTGAGAAACTGTCATGCTGATTTCCAGAGTAGTTGTACAAGTTTGCATTCACACCAGCAATGGAGGAGTGTTCCCCTTACTCCACATCCTCTCCAGAATAGAGCTATCATTGGTGGGTTTTTTATCTTAGCCATTCTGACAGGTATAAGATAGTATCTCAGAGTAGTTTTGATTTGCATTCCCCTGATGGCTAAGGATGTTGAACATTTCCTTAAGTGTTTTTTGACCATTTGAGATTCTTCTGTTGAGAATTCTCTGTTTAGTTCTATACCCCATTTTCTAATTGTGTTATTTGGAATTTTGATGTCTAATTTCTTGAGTTCTTTACATATTTTGAAGATCAGTCCTCTGTTTGAATGTGGTATTGGTGAAGATCTTTTCCCATTCATTAGGCTGCCTTTCTGCCTTATTGACTGTGTCCTTTGTTTTCCAGAAACTTCTCAGTTTCAGGAGGTCCCATTTATTTGTTTTTCTCAGTGTCTGTGCCACTGGTATTATATTTAGGAAGTGGTCTCCTGTGCCTATGCATTGAAGGCTACTTCCCACTTTCTGCTGTAGGAAAATCCTTCAGCCAGTAGCCTTTAAGTTACCCACCCATTTGGACGTGGCTTCATATACTATAAGTGCCAATGTAAAGTGTGCCCTCTCTCTCTCTTCTGGGTGCTGGAATCCATTGTTGTTCCCCATCTGAGTAGAGAACTGTGATCCCCTAAATAAACAACCCTTTATTATACTCAATTCTGAGTTAGTGTGGGATTTCTATTTAGTGTCCATCTTCATCTGGAGCTCCAACATGTGCTAGCTAAATCCACATAAAACCTGAGCGGGCTTATAAAGGAATTCTAGACCCTAAAAAACAAAGTTTAGCCACATTTTTTAAGATGGGCACTACTTGCTGGTGGCATGCAGCAGCTCCTTTAAGAGAGATCGTCCTGATTCAGTGATAACAAAAACAAAAAACAAAAACAAAATAAATGCCTTTTTGAAATGGCAATGTCCAGGCTGCTAGCGTAAACTCTGACTCTTTCAGGAGATCCAGCTATGGAGCATTTAAATGGGCTCTGTGAGCAGAGGGATACAAGTGTTTACCGGCTCGACACAAACCCGCTGCATACCTGGAACTGGGACAGTGTGCATGGCTTGCAGAGGCACTGAAAATGCCTCCACCAAGCTGGACTAAGCCGAGCAAGCAAGCAGGGCCCTGTTGGCCCTATCCATGCCTGCTTACCATTTAAAAAATGTAGTTTTGGGCAGAAAAGGATTACAGATATGCAATAAAAACAAATCCAGATGGAAAAGACCTCTAAATGGGTCAATGGGTCATAGTGTTGGATAAATGTACATAAGCTTGGGAGAGAAGAAGAAAAAGAATAATCTTTTTTTTAATTGATTAGATTTTTTTTTAAATACCAATCCAAGTTCCCACTCCCTTCCCTCTTTCCATTCTCTCCAAACACCCTCCCATCCAACCCAAACCAATCTTCAGAGAGAGTAGGCTTTGTGGAAGGTCCAATGCCCTCCCTACTATATCTAGGCTGAGCAAGGTATACAGCTAAAGAGATTAGTTCCAAAAAAGTCAGTACAAGCAGTAGGGATAAATCCTGGTGGCACTGTCAGTGGCCCCTAAGTCTGCCCCAGCCATGCAACTGTCAACCACATTCAAAGGGACTAGTTTGGTCCTATGATTGTTCCTTCCTAGTCCGGCTAGTGTTGGTGAGCTCCCATTAGCTCAGGCAGACTGTTTCAGTGGGTAAACCCCTCATGGTCTTGACTTCTTGGCTAATATTCTCACTCCTCCCACTCGTCAACTGAACTTTGATCAAAGACCTCACTACAAAACCAGATACACTAAAATTGATAAAAGAGAAAGTGGGTAATAGCCTTGAACTCATTGACATATGAGAAGACTTTCTGAACTGAACATCAATAGCACAGGCACTAAGATTAACAATTAATAAATGAGACCTATTGAAATGTTCTAGGCAGGTGGGAAATTACCAGGCTCAAGACAGAGCAAACAACACCCCAAAAGCTACACCCCCCCCCCCCCCCCCCCCGCCAGCACTAGAAACTGGTGTTTCTACAACAGCAAGACCTGGGAATACGTCACAGGGTTACAAGTTCAGCATAGGTTGAAAAACATGGTTTGTAGGATACATTAGGCTTAGGAAGCAGAAATTTATTCTTATAGAAAATGGAGACTTAATAACAATGTATAACATGTAGCCCCTTAACAGCAAGGTGACTCCTGTTGTAGTTTCACAGAGGGAAATGAAACTGTAATCAAGATATACTGTATTAGAAAAGAATCTTTTTTAATAAAAGGAGAAAATTTAAAAACATAAAACTTTATGGAAATCAAATTAAATAAATAAATATACAAATAAAGAATTGTGAATGTCTTAGTTAGGGTTGCTGTGATGAAACTCCATTACCACAAAGCAAGATGGGAGGAAAGGGTTTATTTGGATTATACTTCCATGTTGTGTCACTGAAGGAAGTCAGAACAGGAACTCAAACAGGCCAGGAACCTGGAGGCAGGAGCTCATTAGGAGGCCACAGAAGGATACTACTTACTGGCTTGCTCCCCATGGCTTGCTCAGTCTGCTTTCTTATAGAACTCAGGACCACCAGACCAGGGATAGCACCACAGACAAGAGTTCCTTCTGTTTCCTAAACCATCCTCCTAGCCATAGTCTGTAAATTGATCATCAATTACTAAATTTTCTACTAATATATTGGCAAGTGTCATTAATCTTGAAGGGCCTTGATAATTTTTTCATTAGAAACTGTAATATATGAAATTAAATGCAGCATTGTCAAGCAAGCATAACAAACATTCCCTTTCTGCCAGCATCATTTCCGGTGTGATTCTGTTCTCCCAGGCTATTCGCAGCAGCCACATGATACCTTCTCTTTCTTAAAATTGATGCCACGAGGAAAAGAGGGGTCTCCTCTTAAGATGATCATGAGGGTCCTGTTTGGGTTGGGTTGGGAAGCCCCTGGCTTCCACGTATCTGAGAAGTCTGGAATGTTTGGGTGGATGGCTCCATTCTAGGTCCCCTCCTCTGGGAGTTGCCTCAGTCCAGACTCCACTTTCGAGAAAGCCTGCCAAATGGTGACCTGCCCCCAGAGAGACTCAAGACCACTCCCATGGGGTATTTAAACTGCACCCCAGAGAACAAACACCTGGTTTTCCGGTCTTCCTTCCAAGGGCCACCTGGGAGCGCAGACGTCCATTTTAAACCTGGGATTTTTCTGATTTGGTTTGATTTGGATTACTGCGTCTACGGAGAGGTTTGTAGGGCCGTAAGAACTTTTCAGGTCCATCCTCACTGGCCTCTTGAGCACGTTAATGCCTATTTAGTGTGAGGGCCAGCCATGATAAGCTAAGTACGGGCAGGTCACCCCAAGGAAGTTCTTTACTTCCAACCATTATCACCTGCCGGAGTAGAACTTGGCCCTCAATAAATTTAGTAATAGGCCTGAGTTTACCCTGAAGCAGAAGGAACCACAAGCTGAGATTACCCAACCACCACCCAAGAACTGACCATTCAAAGGAAATGCCTAACATTCCAACCACTGTAGATAGGATCACCAGCCAGCACAAATTTTCACCAGGACACTCCTAGACAAATAAATGTCAGCCAATCAGGGGTCCTGAACCTCAGAAACTCCTCACCCCCACCTTTACTGCTATAAAAGTCCAATTCTAATTGAGCTCAGGGCTCTCCGGTTATTCCAAAACGTTGGACGTGCAGAGAGATCAAGTTTGCAAACTTGATTAAAATAAAGGCTCTTTGTTTTTACATACAGGACTCAGTCTCCTTGTTGGCTTTTGCGGGGACTTTGCGGATTTGGGCATAACATTTAGTCCTTGGATAAAAAGCCGCGGTCTAGCATAGCCAGCTCTTTTAATTTCTTAAAGTGAAGAAACTCTAGAAATTTAAATTGAACCTCTCCCTCTCATTGTTTATACTGGACCACGCTAACTTGGGAATGCCTTTCTATCTCAAAACCCTAGAGGCAGTCTCCATCAGAACAGAGTCCAAACAATTTCTAGGGAACGTAAAAATAATTGTCTGTGTTCTCTGCACTTGTGGATCTTTATGTGTATGCATGTTCAACTGACGGCTTACAAGGCATTACACAGCAGATCCTCCTGGGAACTAAATCTTCAAAAGGCCCCCTCTAAACAGCTCCAGTCTAAAACTTGTCACGGGGCCCTCATTCAGCCCTGGGAGCTGTCTGGTGTCATTGGTGCTTTCTGATATCAATCAAAGCCTGTGGGCAGTCGCTTTGGTCGAAGTGGTGTTGTTTGAGAAACTGCCAATCAAGCTGACGAAGAGAAGGGGCGGGCCTTGACAATCTCGCGAGCCTATGCTTATCTCCGGCCTTTGTGTTTGAAAATGTCTTAGTGTGGTCCCCAGCCTCTGGAAGCCTAGGGACCCTGATGAAATCGTGAGCTTCGGGTGCTGGAGATGCAAGAGGACCGTGGAGATGGTGAGCGCTGGTGGCGAGGCTGCTCGGAGGGTTAGGTAGGAGGGACTCTGCGCTCCTAGGGGCGCCGGGCCAGGTCCCCTTGGCCTAGGGTGGAGCTGGCGGGCTGCACGGACCTAGTGTCCTCCGGTGCCCTGGAAGGGAGGAGCTGGGCAGAAACACGGAGTTTGCTTCCAGTCTCTTCCCCTGCTGCGGCCTCTCTGTGTCTGCAGCCAGCTTCGCAGACTGCTGGAGATGGTCTGAAGGAGCATCAGAAAATCCAGTTCCGTGGCGGAGGTTCCTGCCGGAGAGCAGCTGGGCTCCAGATTCTTCCTCCTCCCAAAGTTTTCCCTTGAGCGTTCTGAATGTACCGGAAGTAGGAGCTCAGATCCAAAACCCTTTCCGCAGCCTTCGGGGGTCTAGGTCTGATAATTAAATCCTAAATCCCAAATATGTTTGTCATTCCCAAACAGTTGTATTTTATCAGACAGCTTTTGTCACTATTTTCTCCAGATAATAAATGGTACTTTATTATAGATAATAAATGGTTCTTCTTTTACGTTAGTATATATTATACATAGTAATGGGTGGTGTCATTACGACATTTTCATACATGCTAATGTATTGTGAACATATCCTCCATCACTTCTCTCCCGCCCCCTCCCCACTAGTCCCCTCTCCCCTAGTAGTTCTACTTTCGTCTGTTTTTTGGTAAACTAATGAGTTTCATTCGGGTTATTTACTGAGAGACTATTTACCGGAGCCAGGCATTTATTTAGTGGCAACACTAGTAGAGAAAATATCTCAATCCCTTATCAACTGTAACCTGCCCCCAAATCCTCAGGGAGTGGCAAGGCCTCATGGCCCCTCCCCCACAAAGGATCGACAGGTCCAGTCTCATGCAGGTCCTTCTGCGATTCATCACAGCCACTGACATTTTGGGTGCAAGGGTCGTGTCCTGCGTGTGGCATAACTTGTGCTTGGCATTTTGTGGGATCTGTCGTTTCTTAGCAGTTCCCCTTCCAACACCTTTTTTTAAAAAAATGTCTTTTTTTTTTTGTAGTTGTTGTTTTTGATTTGATTTTGTGATCTCTTTTTGTCTTCTAGGCAGTCTTCTCACAGTGTTTTTGGATTGAGTTTTCCCCTGGAGAGTTTCCATGGTGATGTGCCCATGCTCTGTGCTTTGGTTATTTCCTGCACAGGGGCTTGGCACCTCGTGTCCACGGCTGCTGTGTGCTAGCGCCTGTCGGCCACTGTGTCCTCTCCTTAGAAAACAGGCTGAGCTGTGGGGTGCAGTGAGGGAGCAGCTGGGTGCCCTGAGCCTCCAAGACTTCCATCTAGGAGACCCTTTTGCTGTATGCATGTCTGGGCTACTGAGGACAGTGTTGGCAATGTGGTAGAGTAGTCATTTCTTCAGCACTCTGGCTTTAATCCTTTTGTGACTACTTAGGTTATATGGTCATTCTGTTTCATGGTGTTTTTGTTTTATTTTTAACAGCCGCACTGAATTTATATTTTAAACAATTCTATCCCAAGGTTTCCTTTCTAAAACACCCATGGCCACTGGAACACTATTTTTTATTCTCTCATATGACATCTGTAGTTGCCCCTCCCTCCTCTCCCCTCTACCCCTAACCTTCCTTTTTCCCCAGATCCACTCCTCCTCTGTTTCAGAAAAGAGCAGGCCTCCAGGGATATCAGCAGAACATGGCATAACAAGTTACAATAAGGCCAGGCACATACCCTCATATCAAGGGCTAGATGATGCAATCCAATAGGAGGAAAAGGTCCCAAAAGCAGGCAAAAGAGAGACAGCTCCTGCTCCCACTGTTAGGAGCCCCGCAAGGACAGCAAGCTACATAACCATAACATATATGCAGCAGAGGACCTAGATCAAGCTCATATAAGCTCCCTTGATTGTCACTCAGTCTCTGTGAGCCTCTATGAACCCTGATTAGTTGATTCTGTGGGCCATGGAACACTTACTCTTCAAGCTGGCCTGTCTGTCACCTGTTGGCTATGTATTGAGTCACCGGTTCAGGTGATTAGAATCTATGCCATCAGGTGGCCACTGGTGGAATGCGCTCTAAAACTTCTTTTTGGAATGAACAACAGTTGGTACTTTTGAAAGTTGTAGACCATGGAAAATTTGTCCAGAAGATTTACATGTGCTTGGTTCTCTTTCATCCAAAGCCTGAAGGTTCAGGATGTAGCCCAGTGGAAGGTGTTGACTTGGGTCCTTCATTGCATTGAAGAAACTGCTTCCAGGAAGAACTGGAGTCAGTGTTGTGTAGCCAGCTTGAGGAGAGGGCCTAAGGAGTGGGAAGATCACACTCAGTCTTCCAGAAGCCTGTTATTGAGGAAGACAGGAAATTTTAGAACTCAAGCATGGCAGGTCTACATGTGAGACTACATCTCAAGGCAGTGAAGACCTCGCCCACTTGGTAGTGAGGTGAGCGACCCAGTAGACTCCGGTAGCTGAGAAAGCAGTAGCAAGTGGGCTCATTCAGATGTCTGACACTAGCGCTTGCCTTAACTCAGGTGTCCTAGTCCCTGAAGATGCCCTTCCTTCACGTCAGCCCTGAAAGCATCTACCAAAACCTACATATTTGTTGCATTTCTTTTCCTTGGCAGATGAACAAAAGTGAGATTAGCTGAGATGGGGCACCATGAGCACAGTAAAACAAGGGTTCCACCGGACCTCATGTTATAAACTGGTGAATCCATTGAGTCTACTTATAGGACCATGAATTGCAAAGCTGCTGTACGACAGAGAAGTCTTAGCCCAGAAAGTGTGTCCAAAACAGAAAAGCTGCTTTATGGAATCCCATTTTAACTTTTCCGTTCCTATATATTCTAGATCTTCTGTGGTCTTGTGCAACTGGGAGGCAGGAGGATGAGGTAGGTAGAATCCTAAATTTGAGTCCTGTGACTCCCACCTCATTCTGTCGCTTAGGGCGTATGAACAGCCACATTGCCATTGTCGTAGACCTAGTGATCACTGTGTTTCTTACTCTTTCTTGTTATGCCTGCCTGGCCACCATTGACTTAGTCTTCATTATCTGTGTCCTGCACTATGATAGTGGAAGAGATTGTTTTATACCATGAGGGAAGGCTGCAAACACCCTCACCTCTTGCCTTTACCACTCATGTGGATTTTCCATAAGACACTTGCACTGCTGGAGCCGTGGGCTTGCTCAGCAGCAGCTCTCTGAGACTTTGGTGTTAGCTTCTTGACTTGTGCTTCTCCGTTCAGGGTTCTTGAATTCTTCCATCAGCTTCAGAGTCACAGTCAGTTCTACTTACTGTTCACTCTGTGGCCTGGGGTTGAGCCCCTGATGGCAGCAGTAGAGAACTCGCCAGCAAGGGGAGGCAGACATGGGTAAAGCAGGATGTATATTTCCCCCTCGATTTATAAGTCTGGAGGACTCCCTTTCTGGAATACATCTGTCTTTGTTGAGATAGGGGTTGTAGCTGTCAATTTTGTCTGCAAACTCTATGTGTGTGGTGTATCTGAGCCATGTTCTGAGCTAGGCCTGCATCTTAGTCTATGAAGAACTGAAGAAACACTAATAAAGTGTTTATTCACTTGAGAATTTACCATGTGGGAATGGCCTTGATACCCATTGTAGGATCCAGCTGAGTAAACTGAAGCTTCTTGGGAAATCCCTGCTTCTTCCAATGAACCTCCACAAATTGAGCCACCTCTCCCTATTCATGAGAGTGATTTGTCAGAAACATGGATGATAAACTTACAAAATAAGCTAGTCTTATTAACTGCATCTACCAGGCAGTCTCATATTCCTTAATAGCTGCCATTAGCAATTACAGGATCTTTTATAATGTGAATTACTATTATAATTGTATGTATGTAGATAGATAGATGCTTTTATAATATGAATTACTAGTATAATTGTATGTATGTAGATAGATGCTTTTATAATATGAATTACTATTATAATTGTATGTATGTAGATAGATGCTTTTATAATATGAATTACTAGTATAATTGTATGTATGTAGATAGATTATTTTATAATATGAATTACTAATATAATTGTATATATGTAAATAGATAGACAGACAGACAGATATGCTAGGTAGGTAGGTTGGTAGATTACATAATGGTTAAAAATCAGTGTTCAGAGGAACCTTATTGCAGCCAGAGACAAAAAGCTGATACATATTAAAAGGCCATGAAGATATTAACAGCAATGGGGTACAGGCAGGAAACAGTTCATGCTGATTTTTGTAGGAGAGGAGGAATTCTCAGAGATCTCTAGTAAATCTGGTATACTTTATCACAGAAAGGAATTTCTCATTGAGCCAGTATAAAGCAAGCTTAGAATTTGTTAGGAAGGGGGTTTCACATAGATTAGAGTGTGAAGGTGAATAGAAATGGGTTCTCAGAAGTGGGAAGATACACCCTTGTATGAAGGTAGAATTCTTTACCGTCTCCAATAATCGCTGTCCACTACACAATTATAAAATTTCAGCACGTTCTGAACTTGCATCTCAGAGGGTTGCTGAAGAAAAGATCTTGGGCTAGTTCCTGATGGACAGTGGATGACATTGTAGTTTATGAAGCAGAACCCTTAGGCATGAGGATTGCCTGAATAGTTCAAGTGTTTTTTAGTGAATAAAACTTCATAGTTTTGTGAAGTTCTCAGAAGACTCCTGGAAGGTCTCAGGCCCTATTTGGAGGTTGGCTGTATTTAGGTCTTCAGCATTGTTCATTGCTGTTTCCATGTTGTATTTGAAGTGTTCGTATTTAAAAGGAATTGTTTCTCTATGGAAGCAGCTTTCATAGAAAATTTTATTTTGTTGGAATTTGTGGCTTTTATCTGAGAGTAGAGACATCAAGCAGACACCATGAGAGGCTCCTTTGGCTTTCCTTGCTCCCTCAATTTCCTCTTCTTTTCAGCTTGGTATTAGTGAACCCCGTAGTGGAGCTGCTGGAGAAACCAAAGAACCCTGCTATGGAGACATGGCTCCTTGCTAAGAAACAGGATTATGCATGAGAGCAAGACTGGCTTGAGTGGTCTTGTCATGGAGTAGGGACCATAGAGAACATACCTGTTAACCGCCTGGGATTCTTTGGTGGTCCCTTGACACAGATACTGAGGAGTCCTGGTGGCATCCCCACCCCAGTGTTAGTTGTCTTTTTGATGGGTTCCAGGTGAGGGTGTGTTATGCTGGTTGATCTGGATTTCTGCATTAGTTCTTGGGCCTGGTTTTTCTGATATACTATTACTGTGTTCATAGAGCAGTATAATTTATAATCTACCTTGTTAAATTTATAGTTGATAATCTCACAGAGGTTATCACAGAGTCTGAACTACATCCAGGGAGCCTGCATGAGACCAACCTAGACAATGTACGTATGTGTGACACTTGCATTGCTTGACCTACTTGCGAGACTCCTCGTGGGAGCAGGGGCTGTTCCTTATACTTTAGCTGACTTTTGGGAACCTATTTCTCATACTGGGTTGCCTTGCCCAGCCTTAGCACAAGGGGAGGTGGTTAGTCCTACCGAAACTTAATATGCTATGTTTTATTGATATACTTGGGGGGCCTGCCCCTTTCTGAACAGAAATGGAGGAAGAGTGAATTGGAGATGTGGGCAGAGGGGAGGAAGGGGAAGGGAATGGGAGGAAAAGAAGGAGCAGAAACTGGTCGGAATGTAAAATAAATAAATTTAATATGAACAGTTATCAGTCTGTGCTTCATGGTTGGTGTACAGATGAGCTGCAGAGTCATTTTGCTTTGGTGTTTTCACTCAAAGTGGAGCTACTCAGGACAAGACACAACTTGGGAGCCTTTATTCTACACATTATGTAGTGCTTACAGCAGCCTGATGCCCATGCAGTGAGACTGCAGGAACCTCACCTCCTAAAGTAGCAGGTCTTTACCCTGGGGGAATTCCATTCTCGTGGCCCAACCCACCTCCTGACTGTACACATGTGTAAATTGTTATGACCATGCCGTCACTGGATATTCAATACAGGGAGGCTTCTGGTTCTCCTCCTCTTCTCAGTCCTTTCCTTCCCTTCCCACCTGTTAAATTTTTATTTGTTTGTTTGTTTGTTGTTTTTGTTCCAGAGTTGGCGAGGAGTTCTTGGCTGAGTGTCAGATGGAAATAAGATCCACCATCCCTCCATTCGTGTTCTTACATTCTCTTTCAGTGGTAATTCTGAGCTTCTGAAAGGCAGTGAAGGTGATTAGATCTCCATGAGTTTCCTCATTTATTTCTCAGCTTATTTTGCATTGTATTTTGGGGTCTTTTAAGAGGGTTCATGATTAATGTGGTAAGCATAAATGAATAAATTTCAGCCTCTGAGAACTATAATTTCAGAAATAAAATTAGACATTTTAATGTATGTGGATAAAATATGGCCTTAGTGCCATGTACTTTCCGTGGCCATGGCCTCTATTTCTGATGCAGTGACTAAAGGCATAATTACACAGGTGTGCGTGAAGCCGGAGTTCATGCTGAATTCTCACTGCATGTGTCGTTAAACCAAGCCTTGGCTGGTCTCATGTACAGAAGGGTGGGGGTTTCACCACTTTCCTTGAACTAAACATGTCGTTTTCCAGTTGTATTTGGTGTTTACTTCTGAAAGAAATTGGCTAAGAAGGTTTAAGATGTGTCTTTGTTTTTAACATATTGTCATCTACACAGCTCATGCTACAGAGCTGCTTAATCAATTTGTGGGATACATTACCAAAAAAAAATCTCACTGTTTAACTAAGCAGTGAGCCTTTTGTACTGAGCCACATTCATATCTGACCTAGCACAAAATATGGTCCACAGATTGCATATGTTCCTCACGTAGGTGTCACAGAAAGGATATGGTCACAAGCTCAGCAGTGGTGGCGCACGCCTTTAATCCCAGCCCTTGGGAGGCCAGAGGCAGGTGGATCTCTGTGAGTTTGAGGCCAGCCTGGTCTACAGAGCGAGTTCCAGGATAGGCTCCAAAGCTACAGAGAAACCTTTTTTGAAAAAAAAAAAAAAAAAAAAAAGGAAAAGAAAAAATAATATAGTGAAGGTCCTACTTGCTTCATAAATAAAATGTGTACAGGTCTTTACCTTCAGTTTTATCGGCTTACCTGGTAACACAGACTGTTTGGAATTATATTTTTATAAGACAAGCTTACGTTTTGGTGTCATTCTTGGTTTTGTTCCCAAACCCCAATGCTTCTTAATTTTATTCTACACATTGGGTGGAATAGCATTTGTCCTCTTTTGTAGATAGTCAGTCTTTCAGAACATTTAAATTAAATAATGAATTTATCAGGAGACTTTATTTGTGCTTGCTCCTTGTAAATAATTATCTTTGTATTTTTTTGCTGTGGTAAAACACCATGACAAAGCGGCCTGTGGAGAAAAAGGATTTATTTCAGGTTATAGTAGGACAGGAGCTGAGGCGGAGGGAGCTGTAAGTGGGAACTGAAGCAGAAGCCTTGGAGGAATGCCGCTTACTGGCTTGCTCCCCACGCTTGCTCAGTTTGCTGTCTTTATACCTCTGAACTCTCATCTCAGAAGCGGAAACATCGTACAGTGGGCCAAGCCTTTCCGCATCAGTGGAGAAAATACTTCCACAGACGTGCCTACAGACCACTTGTATGAAAGCATTTTCTCAGCCGAAGTTAAACCTTTCGGAAATCTAGCTGGTGTCAGCCAGCACAGCTTTCCTTCATCCCACGTGCATACATACTCCTTTATTCATAGGTAGTGGTGCTGGAGTCCCTGTGTTCTTTCATCTTTCCTAAAACTTTTCTGTCACTTTGTCCTGTTAATTTGTTTGCATAACAACTGATTTTATCTTTTGTTAAAAAATACTACCTTCAACCCAGGACATATAGAGAGACATGGGAAAGTTCACAAGACATGCCAATTTAGATTGAGGAAGGAGAGAGAGAGGAGGTCACTGGTCACTTCTTTGCCACTTCTCTGAGCAGTCAATTTGCCCCCCAAAAAACTACTACGTCCATATATTAATGGCCTTCCTTTGCACCCACTACATATCCTTTCTCTAAGGTTATGTTTTTTGTTTCTTTTGTACAATTTCATGGACTTTCAGTTCAGTTAACCGTTCTCTTCCTGGCTTTCAGTTTTCTTAGATAAAAACTTACAACACAGGAAAGTGCATTCATTTTACAGCTATATTCTCAGAGCCCTATTTCATCGTCCTGGGATCCAAGGCTCCGATACAGAGTCTTTCCCTGATTCACAGAAATTGTGAAGATGCTGTTCTTCCGGATGCTTTTTTTGTGAACTGTTAATGAAGCAGGCTCCCTGTGTGCCCTCATTTCTTCTTTTGAATATTATTGCCAAGCAACTCTACTTTTCCATGAATTTAACAATTGTTCCTTTTGAGTGGGGGGATGTCTTTTGTTTTATGGGTTAAAGTAAGTAGGCATTAAGAGATAATTTGGCATTAGATTTCACTACACCACTGTCAACCTCATTGTACATCACTGATACCTGACTTCCTCCTTTCTAACATAGCTGGACCTGGCCTGGCCATTCCCCCTTCCCTGAGACTGGAAGTGGACACTGAGTGTGTAATTTCTTGTATACATTTGTGACCCAGTGTTCAAAAGGAAGATGCTTGGAGAGTCACTGACCCAAAGGGGAAAAGATGACCGTGCCAGACACTAGGAACCTGGTTCTGCCAAAACGCAAAGGTCCTCTTGTAATGGGTAATGCTGGTATAGAAGGTCTGAAAACTTGTCATAATGGTGCCATTCAACCAGGGATTTGATCCCATTTCCTGTCATCAGACTGATGGGAGTGGGGTATGCAGATCAATCCGACCCTAACATCAGAGGCAGGACTACCCAGTCAAACAGAGAGGATTCTCTGTTAGCTTCGCAGGACTCTTGTCTCTCTCAGTCTGCTGGAGCTTGGACAGTGTCCAGATTCCCAGAGACAACATGTAGTGACATGAAGCTTGTTGGACCAAGCTAATGTGGCGCCACAGTGAAAGGAGCTGGTCATTGCATTGTCATCTCCAGTTAGGGGATCTGAGTGTTGCAGGTGGAGCTTGGCCCTAGCACCCTCTGTAATGTGTTGTGGGGCTGCAGCAGTAGCTGAGATGTCTGATGTGGTAGGTCGAACGGTGATGTGCCCCCACGAGCTCATGTGTTTACATGCTTAGTCCTACTTAATGGACATGGTGCTTCCAACATTGATATTTGTGTTTTTAGGGCTTCTTTCAACCTGTTGGTTGCTTTCAGCAAAAGATCACAACACACCTATGCACACAAAAATTATTATGGATCAAGGATGTGAGAAATACATAATATAAACAATGCATTGAGCTTGGACATAAAAGCTGATAAAGTGAAATACAAGGCCTGGACAGGCTGGTTACCTTGCTTTCATAAAGGCAGGGTAGACTTAAATGGGTAGCAAGTTGAACTTATACTCCTAAATGATCATTATACTCCTAAATCATCATTTTTCAAGGCATATTACTGACTTGCTTGCAAGAAAGTTTAGTCTCTTTGAAGGTAAGATATATTTTCTGGAAAAATATTTTAGTACCGTTGGGCACAGCTGTGTCTCCCCAAATTGTGTGATTTCCATAGGAAATGTCATCAAGGGAGAATCCGTGTGTGTTGACTCTCGCCAACCTATGCAGATCTGTCTGTGAGACCTGGAATTTGACCTGAGGACCCAAAAGAAGCCGGGAGGGAGTGTCGGACAGGACAGGACGTTGTAGACAGCCTTACTTCAGTTTCAGTGTGCTTTTCTGCATGAATGTAACAAACCAGTGATCCAAGGAAGGTTGTTTGTCTTCAGAAAAACATGTAAATAATGATCAGTAAACACATAGTGAATAGTGACAGAGCAACCCTTTCCAGAACTTTCTCAGGAAAGACTCATTTAAACAATGCTTAGAACTTACTATAGATTTTATCTGGGAAAGCACAAAAGCAAAGCAGAAGGCCCTACCAAGATTCAGGGTACAATGACCAGGTAGGTTCTATAGCTATGTTCTGACATCCAACAAAATTAGTCTTAAATGTGGTTATAAATGTTTTTCACAGAAGGCATGAAATCACGTCCAAGAACAGTCCAGGGAACAAGATGCACCTGAGGTAAAGGTCCTCTGCTCTACCTTTCTTCCTGGAGCCTCTCACAGCTCCCCAAGGCATTGTTCGCCATGGGCCATTCTTCTGACCAATCGTCCTCTATATATGGTATATGGGGTTTCTGTGGGTGGTGTTGAGGTTCTAGCTGACTTGAAGCCCTAATTTCAACACAAGGATGACCCCTTTGGGGTCTTTGAAATTAATGAAAGCAAAAAAAAAATTGTCAAATCTAGGAATCTGTTCCCCTAGCCTATCTCTATCAGCTGACAAACTAAAGCCCTACGTGTCCTTTCCAACTCTTCATTTATTATTGTATCAGAAGTGAGTAGAATATAAGAAAGTATTTATAAATCCAAAGTAGATGAGAAACTAAGATATTTTTGGTTTTAGTGCTTACTAATTATAATTTATTCTCTTTTCTACCATGAATTTGCTAGACTTCTCGGGGGAAAGAAGTTCAGATGTAATTGAGTCTTAGCAGTAGCTACGGTATCAAGAATAGAGAAGCTCTTTTCTTTCAGATTCATCGGGCAAGTAAGGTAGAGGGATCGTTGCATCACAGACCTTCACAAAAGCATTCTTGGAAGATTTGTGATGGTCACTCTGCTTTGCTGTTCTCTGTACTTGGTGATTTTTTTATACTATATGGGAGTTAACTTTGCAAATCCTATTCATTTACACATATGATGGATTGTTTATTGAATTATTTATCTGTTTTCCCATTACAAAGAAAGTTATATTCTCTAAAAAGGATAGAATAACATTATTTTCATTTTGAGATATGAAATTTAAGTGCTTCAAAAGTTTGTTTATTGCTATTAACACTGAGTGTTATGAATAGTCTGTTGCAACACTGAATATTCTGTCATTTAAAGCTGTGGATATACTTAGAAAGCAGAAGGCTGAGGTTCAGAGCTTGAAGCTAAAGATTTCCAGGGAAGAAAGACAGATTCCTAGGGGAATGTGTCTCCGGTTAGGCTCTGTGGAGCCCTGCATTCAGAACTCGCAAACCTTTGCTTCTCCACCTTTCTTCCTTCTGCTTAGTGTCGTTCTGGTTGTTGTTATTTTAAACTACTGACTTTTCTTCTAAGTATAGAACATGTTTAGAAATATTAAATAGACATGGTGCAGTAAGTTTTCATTTTATTTCACCTCAATATCACATATACACACTTTATCACTTTATTTTTAGCAAAAGAAACAGCAGTAAGCGAAAATTTAAATTAACGCGTGTAATACAAAACAATAAATAACTAAAAAGCTGTAACTTTTATTGTGGCTTTACATCCTTAAATATGTTCTCAGTGATAGTGTATTAAAAAATCTTCTTTAAATGGAATATAATTCAGATTTGCACAAGTTGGCCTCTAGCAGCATGGAGTTAAGGATGGCCTTTAATTTACATTCTCCTGCCTTCACCTCCCAAGTGCTGGGGTTAAAGGTCACACACACACACACACACACACACACCTCTGGGTAAAAGAGTGCCAGGAAGTCAGCTCAAAACTGTGTGTATGCTAGGCACACTCAACAGACTGAACTACTTCTCCAGATCCGTTTTCTCATGTTTGACCTTAACATTCTACTCGTGTGTGTGTGTGTGTGTGTGTGTGTGTGTGTGTGTGTGTGTGTGTTGGAATCTGTCTTCAGGAGGAGCCCGGGCCTTATGTGTAATAGCCAACAACCTGTCACTGGGAAATGCACACAGCCATAGTGTAATGTTTTGAATTTATAGCTACCATTTTTATGTGTAGAAATAAAATATAAATATTATTTGATCAGTTTTGTTTTGCTTCCTTCTGAACACATTTCATTCCCAATCTCATGTGGAAACTGCTTGAAGGTTATTTTAGTTATTTTAACTTTGTTTCCATCTGAATCTTGGAACAGAGATGTTTGGTCAGAACCTATGCTTGACCACTTGCTATGTATTTGAAAACTGATGTAGAAAAAAAGAAACATAAAGTCATTCCCATTGAAGATAGTTTTAAATAATCAAAAAGATTATTCTTGCTTTACTTCCTATTGTAATAAAATGGATAATTACTTTGACAGTCAGACAGTGAATTCCTCCACTAGTGTTCTACTTCATGGTTGCTAATGAATAGTCCTTGGACACTGGCATCAGCATCTCTACTGAGCTACGTCCTTAGAAACCCTGACTCCTCTCCAGAACTCCCAAATCAGAATCATCACCTGTGTAATTTACCATGACTTTCTCACCTAAGAAATATATATAGTGTTGTATATATTAGTTTATATAGTCCATATTTTGATGCTTTACTTTGGCATGTTAAAGGTCATAAAGTTAGAATGTTTACACTGGTTTAGCAGAGCTATGACATACCTAAACTCGGTTAGGTTAGATGTAGGATATTAATGTGATATAAAACGCGCCTTGCTGAACAATTTCAACTGCCTGTGTCAACACCAGTTCTAACTCTCTTCTTGGGTAATACTAAAACTCTGATCAGCTTGCTATTTATTTCTTTTCTTCATTTTTATTTCAGGACCAGTTGACATTCAGCGATGTGGCCATTGATTTCTCTGAAGATGAGTGGGAATGCCTGGACCCTCCTCAGCAGGATCTGTATAGGGATGTGATGTTAGAGAACTACAGAAACCTGGTCTCTGTGGGTGAGGACAGAATCCCAGCAGCGCTCCCAACACACTGCCAGCATTTAACGTCTTTCCTTTCAAAAATGTCTGCTGTGGCCTGTGCTTTTCATGACCAATGCAGATCTGTGCTTTACAGAACAGTTGTAGGCATAGAGTGTTCCCATTATTCTTGTCATTGTCCCTTTCCTCTTTCTGTAGACCATATACAGCCTAACTTGAGTGGTGATTGCATCGTTTCTACGGCATGTCACATTCTGGTCTACATCTCCTCTTCAGCTTCGATTTGATTATAGTCAGAGGTAGAGCTCAGTATTTGCAAACTGAAATATGGTCTCATATGTCTTTTGGAATCACACTTGGACTAGTATTGTTCTTAAATTCTCTACCAAATCTTCTCTTTTCTATTGAGCACAGAAGTGAGACAGATAACCTGATGTGTAATAGAAGCAATCCTAGTATATATCATGTTCTCTTTTCTAATCATCAGCTCTTACTATCTCTATGTCATGCATAGTTACCCCTCTGGAAACAAACAAAAGAGCCCTAGGATGTAAAGTAGGTAGGGAGGAATGGATGAAGCAGGGGACACAGTTGAGAGATGCAAAGATCAAGGCGCAAGCACACTAGAAGTTGGTGTAATGCACTGTGTGCACATTCCAAATTAATTTTATCTGCTCTGCAAGGGGAGTTGGGTTGCTATCACCCCTTAACTGTTATGAATAATGTTGCAGTTACAGTGGAAATACATCTTCATTTGGCCATCACCTGGGTATTACCACACTCCTGATTTCCATAAGTCTACCTGTTTAGTAGATGTCAGGAGAAAACCATTTTGATCATTGTTACTTTTAATATACTTTGTGCTCAGGAAACCTGATGGCTCCTAATTTTTTCTTAAGAGTGTTGAACCCTTCATTAGCATCATAGATTCATCTGATTTTTTTGAATTGCTATAGGTATTTCTGCTAAAAAAATAATTTTCAGGTTTTGGTAGAAATTAAACGGATTCTCTAGATTATGTTGGATATAACAGTCATCTTAATTTTATCTTTTCTTCTGTAATAATACTATAATCATGCTTATATCCTTTAAAGGACACATAGTTTTAGGTTTTCTTATTTCTCTTCTATTGTTGATGTCTATATATTATTTCATTATAATTAGAAATAAACCTCAAAAAACAAAAAAATAAAAAAAAAAAAAGAAATAAACCTCAATACTCTATCTGTTAGGACTTGTGTTGTATCTTACCAGGTAATCCAACTTAATATTTGTTTTGTGTCTGTAGCTCTGGTTTTTATAGTATTTTCAGGATTTGTTTCCTAATTAGTTCTCCGTGTAGCTTTATTTTATAATACGAAAAGTAGGGTATGAAGTCAGTATTATTATGGTGCTTTCGGTGTCTTGCTTCAGTTCTCAGTGTTCACACCCTATGTCTGAGAAGTGGGAAGTGCGTTGTATATGTGTTTATTACAGTTGCGCCCTCCTAGAGAAATGGCCATTTGTGTTTGTCTTAATTAGGGTTTCTGTGGCTTTGATAAATATACCATGACCAAAAGAAGCTTGGGGCGGAGAGGGTTTATTTTGGCTCACAATTGCATATCACAGTCCATCACTGAGGGCAGTGAGGGCAGGAACTTGGAGATAGGAAAGGCCTGTAGAGTAGTCCACCTTACTGGCTTGCTCCCCATTGCCTGCTCAACCTGCTTTCATATATACCCTAGGGCCACCTGCCAGCAATAACACCACCCACAATGCTCTGGGCTCTCCTACATCAATCATCAGATATGAAAATGCCCCCCCAGACTTTTCCATAAGCCAATGTTATAGAGGCATTTTCTCAATTGAGGTTCCCTCCTCTCTCTTCTTGGAAGACTCTAGCTTCTGTTTAGTTGGAAGAAGCAAAAAGAAAAAAAAAAAACTTGATAGCATGGTTATTTTCTTTCATTATCAGATAACTTTTTTACTGAAAGTGTCTACTTTTATAACATAATTATGGCCATGCCCATTTTCTCTGTCCTCTTACTTCATGATTGTTAGCACACCTGAATCCTTCCATTTAAAAGAGCCTCCTATGGTGCAGCATAATTTTCTTTTTTTCTTGTATGTGCTAATGACAATACAATTTCCCGTCCATGCAAGTTTCCTTTGCAGTTACATTTCCCTTTCCTGTGCTAGTATTGATAATAGTTGTTTTATTTAGAGTGTGTCTGGATTTACCACCAGATTTATGATAAAGCTTTTGCTTTTACCTTTTAAATTCTACTCAGAAATTAAAAGTGTGTTGTACATCCTCGTAAATCCATAGAATTCTGTTTCTCTGTATTTGATTTTCCACAGAGCTTTAAATTTTTTTGTTTGTATTGCCTCGTAACAGTAGGGCAGTCCAGCAGAGATGGTCTTTAGAGCGTTTATATATCCTTGGATGCAGTTCTTTCCCTTGAAGGATGGGTTGGCTGGTGGTATGTTTTAGATTTTACCCCTCCAGCACGTTCACCATGTTCTCCATCTTACATCTGCATTACAATGCTTCTCTTAGATGCTCCTCTGAGGTCACAAGAGCAGCATCACTTTTACTGCCCTCAAGATATCTCTGTGACTTGTGAGACGGAGACTCCATTGTGTGTGTCATTTTCACTCTCTGTCTTTCAGCCTGAAGCAACTAATTAAGCCGCTTGAATTCTGATGTGTTTCCTCATCATATTTCTAGTTTTCTCACCATTATTTCTTATTAAATTTGTCTTCTATATTATTCTCTTATGGTGTCGATTTCTTTGTATTCTTGTTTTCTTGATTTTAGTGTTTCATGTGTTTTATTTATCCATTATCTTTAGATGGTTGTTTTGTTTACATAATTCATAAATCAGTTTTTAAATGATAAGTTTGCAGTATTTTTCATGTTCTTTTTACTGGGGCATCACCTTGTTTCTTTGTGTACTGTATTAACATTCATTGAAACTTGCCCTTTGAAAAAAGAATCAACAATGGATTATAGCAGTCACGGGGGTGATAGCATGTTGGCACCTTGAAACCATAAAAAACAAATGTGCGTTTGTTCCAGCAACCTCAGGGACTAAGTATTTGGGCAAACAATACTAAATCACTCTATTGAGAATATCACCAATAATGCAGCATGATTTGAAGTTACCAAAATAGAAGTTAACTTTAGTATAAGTGAATAACAGATCATTTCTGGGATGGAGAGAGAGCTCAGGATTTAAGAACACAGACTATCTAGCTGAGGACCAAAATTTGGTTCCCAGCACCCACATTGAGAACCCATAGCACAACTGCCTGTAACTCCAGCCTCAGAGGGATATAATGCCTCTGACATTCACAGGAAGCTGCACTAATGTGCACATGAGCATGTGCTCACACGTGCATACACACACACACACACACACATACACACACATTTAAAAATGATAAAAAAATATTTTAAAAGATCATTAGGTCCATATGCACAGTGGTTTAATGTTGAGCTATATAAAAGAGAAAATCTTATTTTCTGCTGCATGGGTAAAAGTGCAAGACTTAAAATGAAATCAAGCAAACAAAGGAAATTAACATCTTAATGTGCAATTTGTAAAGTTAATTTCAGAAATAAAAACAGGCTGTCAATTTAAAAGGGTGCTGAAGTAGTAGTGATCAAAGGTGAAAAAACTTATTAAGATGAGCATAAGGCTATGAGACCATAAGCTGTTTCCTAAAGATCTAGAATTAATTGGGGGGGGGGGGGATAGGCATAAGAATATCCAGAATTTTATAGATCATGAGTATATTTAATATATTTTTGAGAAGTACTAAGGATATAGATAGGAAGTGTCTAAGTACAAAACTTATAATTATATGAAATGATAATGTGTTAGGAATTTAGATTTAGTCATTCCAACATAAATATAGACTTAAAATAGAATGGTGTACATGATGAGTAGATTAAATTTATTTTTCAGTGAAATTGATAAGCACCAGTAATTTGTTTTATATTTAAGAGTTACCTTTTTCTCTACAGGGTGTCTTCATCATGCTTTTGATTATTGAGGACTTTGAAACCTGTTTTAAGACATCTGTTATATGGAACTGTATCTTTATACATATTTCATTAACTACCTTGGGCTCTACCTCTGATGACAGTTTGGAGTACCAAAACAGTATTTGTTTTGCCATTGGTCTCAGCTGTAGAAAACTGTCATGTCAAGTACATCTTATATCTCCTACAGTCTATCATTGGAGGTAGCCAGGTTTCAGACAGCCCCTATTAAAAAAAAAAAAAAAAAAAAAAAAAGCCTCACTTATTTTCTCCTCATGGAGGTTTGCATTTCTCTAATTGGCTGTGCTGTAGAGGAAAAAAGAAGCTGTGGTTGACAGAAGTAACAACTTTACCCCCAGCTACAATCAAACTGCTTTTGATTTTGTGATTTCTTAACTGGTTATGGAGTGTACACATGTTCAATTTGGTCAATATTTTATTTTTCTAAAGTTAATATACAAAAGAGTATTGAGAATCTTTGATCCTGTGGTTTCCCACTGATGTTCCAATCTAGTATAACTTTACATATATTTATAAACTACAACCACCAGAATCTATTAAGTTAATTTGTTTGTTTTTATTTATTTCAGCTCTTTCTCGTCATTTTACCCAGAACTTTTCACCAGAACAGATCCTAAAATATTCCCTCAAAAAAGTGACTAAGAGAAGACGTGGAAGTTATGGCCTCAAGAGTTTGAGAAGTCAGGCAAATGCAGATGAGAATAAAGGTCAAACAGCCTGCCATGGTGAATATAACCCATTCGTGATCACAGGCAATAACAAAGATGTCATTGACAACAGAGATAAAGAACAGAAAATGGCTGTGAAAAAAACCCATGCTAGGACAGGTACTTTTGATGAGCCATGTCTCTATAAACAAAAATATCCAAGGGAAATTTTTCAATATAACTTACGTTTGAAAAGATGTTTTGAAGATCTGAAAGTGGGAAAAATCTTTCAATCAAGCATTTCCATAGACAAAGAATTGAGAGACAGAGAACTGATATCTAAAGTTGATCAAGTAGAGGTTTCCTATCCTGAAAGATCCTTACTCTTCAGCCAGCAAGTTGATCTTTCCTATGGCCAGATGCACAATTCTGATGGTTGTGGACTACTTGCTACAGACCTATTACTGCATAGCCAGAATCCAGATACAGATATTTGGAAAGCCACACACATGTGTAAAGAAACCAGCAAAGCTTGCAGTAATGGCTCTACACTAAATGATTGCAAGGATATTGTAGAGAAATCTGGTCAGTGTGACAAAGTACACAATAACATTGACCCTGGCTCAAGTCCCACCAACCAGAACTGTACTCTGTTTACAAAGAACCTTTTCAATTGTGAAAATTTCTTTACCCAGTGCTCAAAGCTTGCCATTCAGCAGTGTAACTATATTCAAGATAATCATCACAAGCATACAGATTGTGAGACAATGTTTAATCAAACTTCAAACCTCAAACCTCAAAAACATAAAAATCGGTATGCCCAGAAGTCCTACAGATGTAATGAATGTGGCAAAGCCTTTAAGTATTGCTCAAGTTACAGTAAACACAGCATAATTCACACAGGAGAAAAACCGTACAAATGTAAACTGTGTGGAAAATCCTTTACCCAGTGTGCAAGCCTTAAAAAACATCAAAGAATCCACACTGGAGAGAAGCCCTACAAATGTGAGGAATGTGGCAGAAGCTTTAACCACTGCTCAATTCTTAGTCAGCACCAGAGAATCCATACAGGAGAGAAACCCTACAAATGTAAGCAATGTGGGAAATCCTTTACCCAGTGTGCGAGCCTTAGAAAACACCAGGTAATCCACACTGGAGAGAAGCCCTACAGATGTGCAGAATGTGGCAAAGCTTTCACCCAAAGCTCAACACTTAGCGAGCACCAGAGAATTCATACTGGAGAGAAACCTTACAAGTGTGAACAATGTGGAAAGTCCTTTACCCAGTGTTCAAGCCTCAGAAAACACCAGAGAATCCACACTGGAGAGAAACCCTACAAGTGTGAAGAATGTGGCAAAGCCTTTAACTGCCGTTCATCTTTTACTAAACACAAGAGAATTCACACAGGAGAGAAACCGTACAAATGTAAGGAATGTGGCAAAGCTTTCATCCATTGCACAAACCTTACTCAACACCAGAGAATCCATACGGGAGAGAAACCATACAAATGCAATGAGTGTGGAAAATGCTTTAGTCAGTGTTCAAACCTTAGAAAACATCAAAGAATTCATACATGAGTGAAACAGCAAATGTAAAAATGTGGTAATTCTTTATCTATAGTCCAGGGCTTGTTTTATGTCATATAATAAAACTGGGTGAGTCCTGCGGAAGCAGTGAGTATAACAAAGTCTCCAACTTGTCTGCCACTCACAAGTTCTTGGTATCAGAGAATTCATTCTTCTGCAGAGAGACCCTACAAATACAAGCAATATCAAGACCTCAGATGTTTATAATCCTGTACTAGGCACCACCATCACTTTAGAAAGAAACACAAATGATATTTTTTAATGAGGGGAAAATCTAAATTGTTACTCATCTCTTACTGAACATTGAATTCACACCTGAGACAAAAACTGGGAAATATTCAGAACCTGGCAAAGCCTTTTTAATCTTTCAACCCTCACTAAACACAACAACTCACACCTGAGACAAACCCTACAAGTGCAGAAAAAGTGCCAAAGATTTTTACTATTTTCCACATCATAAACCAGTTTATATTAGGATGAAACACTATAAACATACCAAATGTGTCAAAGCCTTTAAATCAACATACAAAGCATTTTAACATCAGAGAACACATTAAAAATTTCAACTTTGTCCCAAATGCACAACTCAAAGAACAGTAAAATACTTAATGTTCTGTGCATATGTAAAAAGTATAGCAAAACCTTTTTATATATGGGCTCATACTATAATTGAAATTAGAGTTCTACACATGTAAATAATGTAAAACCCTTTGTTGTTACTTCCAAGCTGCTAGATACTATTAATTGATCTGATAGAAGAAACCTCATGGCTCTCAAAGAACTACCAACAACTCACTTCTCAAAAGATATGGCTGTATTACATATTAAAAGTTTCTAAATATGCTCGCTCATGGAAACTGGAAGCTCATTCTCATGTACATGTCAGAAGAACAAGACCCATTTCTGAGTGTTTGTATTTTTCAAAAACTAAACAACATATTTTTCTTGTTCCAGAAAAAGTTCTAGGTAACAAACATTACTAATATATTCATGGGTAAACAACCTCTATTGTTCATTTCCCCCATGATCTTTAGGTGAAAATGGGGCAGACCGGAAAGTTTCAGAGTATTGTGGACTGAACCTTTTGTCTGTCTAGGGTAGGAGGGAGAAAAATATTCTTGAGGTTCTCATACAGTACCAGCCTCCAACTCACCAGCTCCAATATAGGCATCTTGTTGCTGAACATCCAGTCCTTGTTAGACACACACGTCAAAATGAGATCAAATCTGAGGTCTTGGTGTCTCTTGGACACATCAAAAGGTGGTACCAACATGGCAGATCAATACAAAATAGTTCCTGCTGCTGCCAATGAAGTCGGTCATTCTAGTGGGATACATTTCCTTCTCTCTCTCTCTCTCTCTCTCTCTCTCTCTCTCTCTCTCTCTCTCTCTCTCTCTCTCTCCCTCCCCTACCCCCCCAAATGTTGGGGCACCTTCTTCATGCTCCTATGGCTGTGCCTTCCCTTAAGTTGTTTCTATTGGGGAATTTTATCACAGCAATACAACAGAAACTAATACAGGGTCAAGCATCCAAAACAACAGAGTTCAAAGACATTTGGCTTTTTAGTAAAAGATAATGATAATCTTTCACTATTCATAATTATGAATAACAATCATAATAAATGAAGCGTAGGTGGACTCAACCCTTTAAAGTTGCAAAGCTTGAGAAACTTCCTTGCATAGGGTTTCAGGACTGTGTCTGCTGCCTGTGGTTCCCATTAAATAGAATTTAAGTAAGCCTAATAAATGAATCCACTAGCATCAGTTCTAATAAGTATGTGTGTTTGGTAGGTGTTTTCTGTTACATTTTCTAGCATCAGTAAGAATGAAAACAATGTAGAAACCTATTAGAAGGCATGGGGTAGAGGTGTGAAAATGTGAGGTCTGTTTCCTGCAGCTGGGAAGATTGAATTTTTTTATTTTGTGTATGAGTGCTGGCTACATGTATGTATGTCCATCACTTGTGTGTCTAGTACCCTTAGAAGTTGGCAGGGAGTATTGCATCCCTTGGAGCTGGGGTCACAGACGGTTTTGCACCACCATGTGGGTGCTGGGAATTGAACCCATGACCTCTGAAAGAGCAACGAATGCTCTTAAGAACTGGTCTAGCTCCCTAGCTCCTATGTATCTTTTAATAAAATATTGCCTATATATTTGTTCCTGATGACATTATTGGGGCCATGGTTTACTGTCATAGAGGTTTTTTTGTTCCCATCTTGATATTCAACACATTAAATTTTTTTGAGAAAGCAAACAAGAAATAGTTAAATGTGAAGTAAAAATTAGCCAGTTGGACTATGTCTTAACTCTGTAGAAAGAGAAGGCAATTTTTTATATTCGTGAGACAGTTAATTTAAAGCAGATATTTCAGATAACCACCTATTCAATAATCAGGAATAAAGTAAAATGGGAGAAAAATAAAATGATCAGTTATAGAAGCTATTTTCACTTGGCAAAATATGGATGAATTTTGTGCTTATTTTGGACTAGCATGTATCGTTGGACACATTAATGAGGTTCAAAATCAATGGCTCCACGTGTGCATACGGTGTATAGACATCCAACCGACTCAAAATATGTGAAAGAAATATGTTCAGGATGAGTTATCTCAGTCCTCCATATGTGGAATCTCCAACATTAGAATAGAGTTGGGCCACTGCACCTGAAACTGCTATCACTCAGAAAAGATTGGTTAAGCAAGCGGAGTCTGATTCAAGACGGTGGTGCTGCAGATGACGGAGGGGTGTTAGAACTTGGCCTCTCTATGGTCCAAGCAGTTTTGTAATAAGTCATAATTTTCTGGAAGCTAAAGAAAGGAAAAGATTTTTTTTCATAGTCCAAGAAGTCAATTTGAAACTGTTGGGTTCTCAGCTAAGAACATTTCTAGGCCTGGGCTCTAGCATTATGAGTGGAAGCCAATGATAACAACTGGGAGCCTTTTCTATATTAAATGTGAATCACACATGCCAGTGAACTTTCAGAGTTCACACACGCAGTCTTCATAGCTAAGCTGCTACGCTGTTTTGTTTTAGTTTGTGTCGGTTGTCTAGCTTCTTCCTGGGATTCGAGTGCTTGTTTTTCATGATCCTAAGTCAGAGTAGTTGGAGGAAGTTGAAAGTACTTTTTTGGAGTGAGGCAGCAAAGTTGATACAGGAGAAGTATCCACATGGAAGGTAAATAATAAAAATGTCTAATAGGGAAATAAGAGTAAGACCAAATTATTGGAGCAGTAAGTTTTAGACTTAGTTTCTGTATTAGTCGCTTTGCTGTTGCTGTTGCTAAAGCTGTGACTGCACAGCTTAGAAGAGTTTCTTTGGCTCCTAGGTACAGAAGGTTGATGTCTGTAATGGCCGGGACAGCATGGTAGCTTCTCTGCTGGCATGGGAACTCACATCACTGTAAGCACAAAGCTTGGACAGCTCTGAATAGTGAGTGGATTTGGGCTCTGAAAGCCAGGCCCAAGTGACAGGTTTCCTCACACAAGCTGCACCTCCTAAAACTCCCTCAAACAGTGCCACTAACTGGAGACCAGTTATTCATATTTGGAAGCCTTTGGAAAATATTTTTATGCAGGCATTTTCTTTCTACTCCTTGACTTCCATGGGCAGCTGGCTGTGTCATAATGTAAAATGCATTCAGTCCAACTTCAAAAATCCCCATGATCTTTAGAACTAACACTATTTAAAAGTTTGAAGTCTCTTCTGAGGTTCACGATAACATTAATTGTGAACATACTGTTAAAACAAAAAAGAAGTTTCACAACTTACATACTTCTAATATATAATACAGAATATCCATTATCATTCCAAAAGGGAAGAATTGGGGCTTAGTGAGGAAATAATAGACCAAAGCAAGACTGAAACCCAGCAGAGCAAGCACCAAATCCTATAGCTTCATATCCAGTGACTGGAACTTTAATTTCAAAGAGTTTAGATGTCTCCAACCCTCCAGCTTTGCTGCTCACAGCGTACATCTGTCTCTCTTGAGATGTTTGCACTCTATAGGAAGCTATTCTTGACAGATACTGTGGCTCTTGCCATGTCCAATGTCTTAGGTTCTCCACTACAACTGAGACGAATACAGCTTTATACAGTGACATCCCACAGCCTCTTGACTTCACATGGGGACTCCCCTACCACATTTTACCAGATCACAGTGGCTCTCTAAAGTCATGGAGGAAGAATACATGAATTCTTCACTCCTGCACCCTTCATGCCTTTAAAGGTAGCACTATGTAGAAAATACTGCCACATTATGCAGCCATCTTGGGATGAGGCTTGCCCCTCTTGAATCTCATTAGCAGAAGTGGTTTTACTCAGTTTACTTGGTTGCTTAGTAACAGAAAGTGCCCTAGGCTCACAAATTAGAAGCTTAGCTGTGTGGGCTCTTGACCTGGGAGCACCTTTTCCTCTATTGAAGTGCAGAGAAGAAACCTCTCTAAAAGGTACTAATCTCATCTTCTTCAGCACATGCTTTGGCTAAAACATTAAACTTCCTGGTGCTCTTTTTCTCTCAACTATATTTTCTGAATTTTTTGAGCCACACTTTCTCTTCTACATTGTAGACCTGCGTAGCAGACATTCTTAATAGCCATGCTACTGATTCAATAGGATGCTACCTTGAGATTGCATTCAAGAAATGAGTCCATTACTTTTTAATTTACCCTCAGGCCAGTTCTTAGGAGAAAGAGAGTGGCCAGATTCTTTGCCAAGACAATCCTATAAGCAGCCTCTAGCCAAGTTTTTAAGGACCTTTCTTTCCTCTGAAACCTCTTGGCAAGCCTCTAAAGGCTGCATTGCTCACGAACTACTGTCTTCCAGGCTCCCACTAAAATGTCTGTTTAAACTCTGCTTACAACATTCAACTGTTTTTCTAGTCCAAACATCCAACGTTTCTGCCACATTCCTTCAAAGGCAAAATGGTCAGGCTCTCCGTAGCAGCAGCCCACTCTCTGGTACCACCTTCTGTCCTGGTTACTTTTGTTGTGACAAAACACTGTGACTAAGACAGCTTATAGAAGAGCTAGGGGTTGGTTGATTTTTATTTTAGTTTTGATTTTGTTTTGTTTGACTTACTGTTTGAGAAGTTTAGAGCCCATCATGGTGGGGATAGTATGGTAGTGGGAACAAGAACTCACATCTTGAATTACAAGCACAAAACAGAGACAGCAAACTGGATAGGATGGATTCTGGATCTGAAAGCCTGTCCCTAGTGAAATACTTCCTCCAGCAAGGCTGCACCTCTGAAACCTTCACAAATAGTACCACCAATTAGGAAACAAGTGGTAAAGTGCAGGAGCCTGTGGAGGAACATTCTCATTGAAACTCCTGCAGCTTAATTATTTATTTACCTAACTACAGCAAGAATAACTATTGACCATGTAGGCTTTTAAAATGTAAATTTGGGTAATGAACTTACTATACCACTAAGTCATACTGGTGCTTCAGAAAGGGCTGGATTTTCTGTTTGTTTGCATTAGGAAAAAAAAAACCTTGAAATTAAATTCTCAAAAGAGTTTTGAGGCTGGGAAACCAAGACAATATATCATCAGCTTCATTTGTAATTCAGGGGTGGGTTACCCTCTTTCTGAGTTCCCCAGATTATCTCAAAGAATTAAGATTGTCAGAAAATGACCACTCTCTACTTATTGCAAGTCCAAGGATACTATAACAGTTATAACACAGACATGGTGACCAGTCATTTATTCTAGCAGGTGCTCATTAATACTGGGTGATATCTGACACTAGGTGCTCCAGTTACAGTCTCCATGTTATAATCACTTTAACCAAGAGCAGAGCTGATTTCCTGTTGTGCTTTGGATCAAAGCAATAAACTTAAGAGTGCTAGTACACACTCTTCTACTGAACTTTATACAACACAGTTCAAGAACAAAGCCCTACTGAACCTAAGGGAAATAACTATACCAACAAAAAACTTAGAATATTTATTGGTAGTCTTAAAACATGAAGCATGACGATCAACTGGGGAGAAAAGGGAAATTTGCTACTTGAATGTTGAGAATATTCAAACAATGATTGCAGCTATAAGCTAGAAACAATTCCCATCCAAAAAAATAATCATCAAACTAACACTACAGGACCAGAATGGGACTGGAGGCCTCTCTTCGTCATCATGGGAGAAGATATGAATTCAGTGAAGACAGCCGCCATTCCTGTAAGATCTGTTGGGCTGAACTCAAGCTGAAGGCAGGCATGGAACCTACATGAACAAATCACCAACCACTTGCTGAGTCCCAAACAAGAGGTAACTGGCCATATAGGCACCCAGGCCTGCCATACGCCTAGATAGATATCAGAGAATCAACAAAACTCTGTTTTACTTTAGAACATCCTTGGAAAGCACTATTTGATTCAGTATCTGCTTACACCAGGGACTCACATGTTGTCCTGAGTTATAAATGTCAGTTTGATGAAACCTAGAGTCACCTGGGAAGAGAGAACCTTAACTGAATTGCCTACATTAGATTAGCCTGTGGCTGTGTTTTCAAGAAAGTATCAATTCTTGATTGATATTAGGGTTAGGGGACATAGTTCACAGTGGGCAATGCTGTTCTGAGGCAGGTGATCCTGGGCTGTGTAAGAAAGTTCCCGAATGTTAGCTAGTGAGTAAGACAATAACCAGTATTCCTTTCTGGTTATTGCCCCTGGGATCCTGCCTTGAGCTCCTCCCTAACATCCCTCAAACATAGACCATGACCTGGAGGTAAAAATTAAATAAGTGCTTTCTGCTTCAAATTGCTTCTGGCCATGGTGTTTCTCACAGCAACAGAAAGCAAACTTGAATTGGCTTTGCCCTGAATCCCTCCTAACATCCCTCAAACATTGACCTGGATGTTAAAATGAAATAAACACCTTCTGCCTCAAGTTACTTTTGGCCATGGCATTTTTCACAGTGACAGAAAGCAAACTAGAATGGGCTTTAACAGATCTGCATACGAAAAACACGTGAACGTACTCGGTCGGAATCTATCATTTGTTTATATCTGAGATCTGAAACGTTTTCACTCCATAACTGTCTTTGTCATATTGTCTCACTTCATCTTCCTTACTAAAGAAAGCCTCTTTCCATGTCTTGTCAGAAAAATTAATACATTATAAAATTAAAAAAACCTCATATTTATAAAGTAAAAACAAAGAGCTTCCTTGTAAAAATTATTCAGTGTCCAAGATCAATGTCACAAAAAAAAAACATAGGTGAAAGCATCAACAACTATAAATACAGGATTTGTCAGTGCTGCTGTGGTGGTTTGTATGA